TAGGTAGGTAGGTGAAAAAGGTAATTTAGTGCATAGGTAGGTAGGTGAAAAAGGTAATTTAGTGCATAGGTAGGTAGGTGAAAAAGGTAATTTAGTGCATAGGTAGGTAGGTGAAAAAGGTAATTTAGTGCATAGGTAGGTAGGTGAAAAAGGTAATTTAGTGCATAGGTAGGTAGGTACTAAATGATTATGACAAAACAACAAGCTTACATGTTACTTTTTGCGCCTTCCTCAGGTTGTTGTCCTTTGAGCGACATTTCCGTTTTAGAATTATCTTCTGCTGAAGTGATATTACATTGAAACTGATTGCATCTTCTATCGCCTGAAATGCAAATAATTTTAGAAAACCTTAATTCTTTTAAAATATCGTTTAAATTCGGGATTCGATTTCAAACTAAAGGTAGTGAATCAATTCTTTTTAAGGAAAACTGTAGTTACAAATCTTGAAATGCGATAAGAGCGTTCAACTTCGAAGGTGTCCAAAATTTGTAACTAATTGATTGTCAAAGTAGAAATTCATGAAGATTTCGATCAGATGTGACAATCAGACAACTGACGCCATCTGACAGCATGACAGTTTAACAGCTTGACATATCATTGGAATGAATTGGTAATATTTCTAGTCACTGTCATGAAATTCACACGGTGCTACATGCCGAAAAAAAAAAAACTACATAACTTGCGAAATGATCAAATAAATTTGATAATGATCGGATTATATAATAGGATAGGAAACAAACCATATTTCGGTACAAATTGACAGTCTTCGAAAAAAGGTGTGGTGACGAAAGTAAACATGGAAAATGGTGCTTGTGGACTGTTACACCGATCTAAAGTAGTACATCCACAGATCGTGTACTGACTTCTTTTATAACAGTAAGCATGATTACGGAAAAATGTTCGCGTTCCAGTGTCAACATTCACACATCCCGATATCAGAGTTTCGTTGTAGTAATTGTTAACTACTGAAATACAGGATTAGCTATTGGAAACTTGTAAAAAGAATTAAATGGGAACTAAGGAGCTCTAAATTTCAAATACGATCCGTGAATCTAAAAACTCGCAAGATTAAGATTCAAATATTTGTTGATAGAAAATAAATTACCAATAAAACAGATGTCACCGTAACAATTTTCTGGACAAGTTCTGGTGCCAGAAATGGGTGTATGAGGTAGATAATCGCATTCGGCGCACTTGATACTAGTAACTTTTTGCGTCGTGGACGCCACTAGCCAAATAATTATTACCAAACATTCCTTCATCCTTGTGAAATAAATAACAAGTCATTTCTACAATTAGCTCAACCTTTAACCCTTGGACGCTTCCTTATCGATTTTTAGTAGCTTCCATAAAATTATCGTTATAAATATAATGTAGCATCGTCAAAATTTCCAATAAATAAAAGTAATGCAAGTAATTGCAATAACTGCAGTTACAAATGTTACAAAATTCCTAGGAATGAAAAGTGTAACAACTTTTCTGGGAGTAAAATTCCCAGAAAGATATGAAAAGCGGTGCTGACTCATGACCCAATAACTTCCACAATTATGTGCATTCTTTTTGAATCATATATATGAAACATGTAAAATTGAATGCAATAAAATATGCATTTATTGTGGTGCGCTGCTAGGCTTGCGAAAAGTAATCGAACTATTGTCAATCCGCAGAAGTCCGTGTTGTTTTGAAGAACTTACACTTGCTTTACTGTTATCAACAATTGCAAATGTCATTACCTGCTAGAAGCCTTGTCACCTCATTTGGGCCACTATCAAAACAAATTGACGATATAAAATTTTGAAACTTGGAAAATTGCCTGTATGCTTTTTTAACTGATACAGGAACGAATTGAACAAAATTAGACAAATCAAAAAATAAGAATTACATTATCTGAGGAAGCATTAAAGTCTTTACTCTAAAATTCCATCTATCATAATTATTCGTTCCGAGTAATTAATTCATCCACTCCCGATTTAAATTACAGTAAAACTCCCAGGAGTAGCAAGATGAAACTCATTTTGGATAATATAATTATTATCTCCCAATAACTTCCAAGTTATAACTTTCCTGTTGCACTTTTTATTGGAAGAACACAATTGGTTCCCCGGTACTAAATCGATATGCAAACGATATTATTGAGTGAGACGAAATGGGATGAATGCATGACTATCTATGATTTGCATCATGGCTTCTATAAAAGAATCTTCTGGAAACAGCAACGGAACGTGGTGATTTCAGAAGTTAAAAAAGTTCACATTTCAATAGCATCGTTTCTGGAAGTGAAAGAAAGAGAAAATTTATCAATATTTATTGTTATCATAACAATGAAGAATTGAGTATTATTAATTCGGAAGAAGACCCATCTTTTTCAAATAATCCATGGCAACTTGTTACTTCAAGAAGGTCAAGGGTCAAAACAACCTGGTAGAATACCAATTCATATTCCAATATTGTCTTTCATTTCTATTTCCAATGCATCAAGCGGGAAAAGAGAATTAATTCAAAATGACCAGGTTTGGAGCCATTAAAATACATAAAATGAGATTAAAATTTTATAGAAAAATCATAATGTGTTCATCACATATTTTAGTGCAGTATCCGCTCGTATATTACGCTTCAGTGAATGAGTAATTAAGTTGAATCAAAAATTTAAAATGAATTTCGTTATGAATTAACTGCATAAATGAAGTTTAGCAGCGTTATAAATTGCAATAAAATTATATTAGTTGACAATAATAACAGCAAACGGAATTAGTTGGAGGAAAAGGAATAAGTCCATAATTTTTCGCTTGCTCAATCCGAAACTTTTCGCTTGCCTTCCATCGTTGGTTCTACTAAAATTGCTGAATTGAGCCAAATTAAAAACTAGTTTCCATATCATCGCCCTCCCGACCGATTTGAATCACTGCCTCACGCAAATTCGATATATATATATATATATATATATATGAGAAAAGCTCATCCAGATGTCCCGCACGGTGAAAAGTGTAAAATCATTACGATATGTGTGGCAGCAGATACTTCAATTAAATGGCATAAATCGAAAGTGCATAAAAATTTTGCATAATATAAGGTATCAAAAGATGTCACATTCAAATTTGATTGGTAACTTTGGTCATAAATTCGAGACTATTATTTATGCATTAAATCACGACAAAACACTAAATATTTCACATATTAGCTTTCACGCCACCACGGAAACTATCAATAGATTCGCATATAAAGCCTTCTGCTGCAGATTTCCGTGAAGCGAACGATGAACTATCATTGTTTTTCGTGAAGAAATTTCGGAAATGATCTTGTCCTGAAAAACCAAACATTAGATAAGCTATTTATTGATAAATTGCCTGGAACCACTCATTAATTACGAGCAACTACAGTTAACAGATCTGAATCATCGGAAGATCCTACTCTGTAATTCTAAGCTGCAGAAAGACAACTTGCCTTGTGTTTCAGGCGTCACCGGGCAAAGCAATATGAAGCCAACTCTTAAATCTTTCTCCACTTGCAGTATGGCACATTTATTATTCTGAATTTTAAAAGCCGAATCAGTTTCAAAATTCGATCCAAGATTAAGCAAAGAAGAAAATTAGCGCAACTCAGATTTTTACGGGTCAATCTGGTTGTGTAAATTTCAAAAATTCAACAAACTATTTATAAAATTCACCTTTGATAAGAGATAACGAGGTGCCGAAAAGACTGAAACTAATCGCCGTTTACAAAAGAAACCGTAACCATTCATTATCATCTTAAAAAATACGCAATTTATTTCAAAGTCAAAACATAATTTTCTTCAGTCAGCTTTTGATCCCAACTTCTGCTCCTTAGATATTTAACAGAATAATAAAAAATTAATTCATCAGGCTTCATTCATTGAAATAAACTTGAGATTAAGCAGAAAAAAGAAAATTTTTTTCCTGCAAAGAAAAAAGGCAAATATGGGAGATAGCAAGAGGACACCTGATGTGCGCGAACAATGAGGTCGATATTTAATTGTTCGCAGCAAGCAATCACAGTGTCTTCACCAAAGAAATAGCCAGCTCCACGAATTGAATTTTTAATGAAACCTTTCAAATCAAGCATAGGATCAGACCATAAGAGACTACATGCCAGCGGTAATTCTATCGGGTCGAAAATTGGACGTTTGATCTGAAATTTCAGCAAAAATTGAACCCGAATGTATGATCCTTTGATGAGTCATTGTTAAGAAATATTACTTAAAATAACATTTTTAACGCTTAACGTCACAGCTAGAAAAACAAACAGAAATAAATTAATGACTTTGTAAAACAATTTGCTGAAGCATCAAATTAAATTAGATGTAATTAAGTTAACCTTTCTAATATCGTTCAAACATTTCAGTTCCGGTCCGATACCGCCATGAATGCAAAGTATTTTATTGTGAATTATAGCTGCAAGTGGTAAGCAAGCGAATAGTTCATTGAATGCATTCCAAAGTGCAAACCCCTCATTATTTGTTGTAAATCTCCGCTCAAGCTCCAGTTGGAAACCATATGTTTGATTAATGTCCGATGACTCATGATTCCCACGTAGCATGTTGAACTGGAACTCATTCTAATTATCTTAATTAAAATAAACCTAATTTTTCTTACTATAAATAGCATAAGTTGATTAATCACTCACCATCTTTGGGAACATCAATTTATGCGCTAGAAGGCAACAAATTGTCTCCAATGAGTTCATACCACGATCAACATAATCGCCAAGAAATACAAAACGTCTTTTCACGGCTCCACTTTTCCGACCTGATCCAAGAACAGAAAACATTCGATGCAAATCTTCATACTGAAACAATCTCTGGGTAAGCGCAAAATAAGTTAATAAAAATAACTTCATACGAAAAGAAAGAATGATACAGCAGAATGGAACTGGCGCTATAATTTTTTTTTTTTTTTGAGAAATTTGCTTACTGTGCACGGTTTATCCCCTTTCCATAATGTCATTCAGTTTCAGATATCGTCTACTACACTATTTCTCTCGATTGTTAATTAATCTTTAGAATATTAGTTTGTTATCGTTTTAATAAGAAGACAAACAGGATGACATACTTGCCCATGGATATCACCGATCACGACACATGGCACATCAACATCCAGTAGTGTTGGTTCTGACAGAAACAATTTCTTTGCTTCGTTCAAAATGGATAGCAGCTCGGGTACGGTGTAATCGATTGGTAAAAGGTAATTGCAAAATTTATTTGGCATACTCAAAATATTCAAGTTAATAAATTCTTAAATGAAGTGATTTGACATGTTTGGAAAATCAACTACAAAGCTTTCAAATGAGTAAGCCTTTAAACTTATTAGAAGTGTAAGTGATATGTTTCTTCAGGAAAGCCACGTGTGCTGGATTAACAGGCCTGACGATTTTATTTGACATTTTGCAAACTCTGAATGAATTTGCGATGTATTTGGAATTTTTTACTCTTGAACAAAATTTTTTGCCAGTAAATAACAACAGTAAAGTTTTAATAGTCTTTTTCCGTAAGTAAGTAACAACAATAAAGTTTTAGCAGTCTTTTTTCGTAATCTAAAATGAATAACTGCAATTTTACCGCAGCAAATTAAGACAGAGCCACTCCTTCGAAGTTTAAAATGTTGAAATGAACTCCAAACTCCTAAACGATTTCAAAAGCTGAGTTGAATTTGCGCCCGAATTCTGTGTCTTCAACAAGCCTATTTTAAACTGAATGGCCATCTAAGTCAATATGGAATGCCGTGTTTTCAAATGCCATTTCTTTTTCATCAGCAGAGCACTAAATAATTTTTTCATAAATATTGCGCTTTCGTTCGATAAAGGAAAAGAATGAAGTGTGATATAATGTCATTCAATTCAGAAATGATCGTCTAAAACTTTTTTCGGTGAACAATCGTATTTAATGAACCATTCAATCGAACACTTCTTAATCGATCTATTAAATCATTTTGATCGACAAGACTTTTTTACGTAACATTCCAAGTCATCGAAAATGATTAAAATTACAGGTAACAAGATTAATGCATGGATAATTCCCAACAGAATTATTAATATTATTGTCTTCCAAAATACAGCAACCACATATGCTTTCACCATAACCATGGGCAATATACCTGAAAGTTTCTGAACTGCTATTAATCAGCTCAAAGCTTCTTTGCTATTGAGAAATGAACTTAATTTTGAGCATCTCAGTCTTTAATCTTAGAAATATATACTGTTAGACTTGAAGAAAAGTTATAATAACTTGTCATTCGAAAGTTTTCTGCAGCAGTTATTAACTTATAATTACCCAGGAGAGTGCTGAGTCCAGACTGGATTACAGGCCATCCCACACTTTTGAAAGTGATCAGAAATCTTGCTCGAGTATCAGTACTACTTGAATTATTGCAACGGATGCTATTGCTGACTGATGGTAATATCGATAAATCTTTGACACTTGCATCTGAGCCAACAATGATCGAAATAGGTTGATGACAGTGCTCTTCAGATTTCTTATTTTCCTACATGTTCATGAAGATATTTTAAAGCTTGAATCAAAATTCTAGGATCAAGAAGCTTTTCTTCCTCTATGCTTCAGATAACATGAAGGAGTGATCAGAAATCAAAAATCTCATGAAAATTAATGAAAAAAGCCATGCATAGCTTATGGGGAATATTATAAAAAGTATAAAAAGCGTAGTTTTAAACATAAAATTATGCATAAAAGAGCTCAGACACCTTTTGTGCAAGATAGTGATAACAGATATGAGCACTGTAATCGACTGAGAAGCCAATACTCATCAATAAACTGATTAGAGAGATCGCATCCAGCCGTATATTCCATAAATGCAAATATGCAAGTGCTCCAAAGCAAATGGACAAGATGGAAATAACAACGGCTATTACAGCACGTAAGTCAGTGATAAAGAAGTAAACTGAAGCTGACATTAAGACCACCGCAGAAACTACAATAATTTTTAAATTTAATAGTACAAAATATGAAATGATTATGAACATATCCAAACTTAAATGCTAATTATAAAAAAAGTATAATCCATACTTGAAGTCATGCCGACAACTTTGGGCATTTATATCGTCCTCTTTTATCCTTTTCTATCTCTTATTATCATTATATGTGCATTTCTCATGAATTTCTCCTTCCAGATCAAAGTAGCGTAAGACTGATTGACGAATTAATCTCAAAAGTTTCAAAGAATAGATAACAAACATGTAGTTTGAATAAAATTAGTTGCTGCGCTGGCTGCTGATTCAGTTGGAACTTTCTCCAATGGATGATGTGAGCTGACGTTGAAGAATTTATTATATTTTGATATTATAGATCGCCTGAATTAAAACTGACAAAACAAAATTGATAGTTTGATATCAACGAGGAAAAACGATAAATGCAGAAATTTTGAAATGTAGAATTTATTTTAATTGCTAATTCAAAAAAAGGAAAACAAAAAGGTTTGCTTCATCATGATCACCGCCACTACAGGACTGATAATTTTAGCAACTAAAGTGGACTGAGCAGCAGCGCTGAATGAAATGGAACGAAGGAAACCTTTCTTGCATGAGTTCTTGCACATCCAAAAAGTTGCTCATGTTATGGTATGTTATTGACCAAAAGAAACCGGAAATTACTTCCACACCATCCGCTCTTCTCCTAAAATATGCTTTTAAAATGTATAAATTCATTCATTAAATGAGAAAATAATGAGCCTTCATTTTTTCGTTGAAGCATTTATGCTTAACTTCGCATTTTTTACACTGTTGGCGGCATTTTTATTTTTGGTAGAAAATATTGACAAATAGTCAGTTATCTCAGAAATGAGAACAGCGAGAAATCAACTAAACCTTCGATGCATTTCTAAGAAATCACTTACTCAGGTATAGTAAATCTGCCCAGCCACAACAATTGAATTTCCTTTTCTGCAAGGATAACGGTGGGATAAAAATCCCATCAAGAGGCAGTGGGACGAAAAAATTTTTCCATCTTTTCCCAGAAATTTCTAGGTTGAGATTCATTACGTGTAACAACCATAAATACTTCTAAACCTCAGTCCTTCGAAAATCCAAATTTGTTTGCAAACAGGTTGTGAGCAAAGCAGTCGAACGGAAATTAATATTTGTTTACATCCCAACAGTGGAAAGTAAACACATAGAAAAAATCATTTTTTTGGAATATTTTAGGGATGGAATTTTCTCGAGATTCCGTTTGGTAGGGTCACCTGACTGAAACATTTTCATATTTTGAAGCTACCGACCAAATGAATTGCCCAAATGCTAGATAGTCGGGTAAAATAATAGGTTGCATGCATTCATTACTGGAGTAGCAGAGAATAGTTGTTTACTGGTAAGCAACTAGAAATGCTCTTTAAATATGCTCAGGACGTAGAAAAGAATATTGCGATCAACTGTTAAACATTTGTTAAAAAAGTGACAGTACATACGACGGTCAAAAGAACAATGTCCAACCTATCATTTCAGATTTTCACCCTTTCTGGATGAAGAGAGTAATTTTTTCATCTTGGCAGGAGCATTACAGATATTTCTTTGCTATGATTGTTCTTTTACTATTTCCCATTCAAAAAAACTATCAACTATTTTGCAGCAAAATTTTGCATACTAAATCTTTATGTAATCAGTCATAAACCAACTCGGTAGTAATGAACTTTTCTTCTATTTCGTATTCTCGAAATGTCGAAAGTAATTTGTCTTGTTTCCAGAAATTGCTTTCGTCATCCAAAAGCGCTACTGCCTGTAGAATACAATTTAATTGTAACATTTATTAAATGATTAGATAATGAAATCAAATTATTCGGCTCACATTGGAATTTGCTAGAATAAATTATTTTTAAGATCTTCGGATTATTTCTCTACTCTACGAGTTTCCGGAATATCTCCGAGATGAAAAATGAACCTGCGTAGTTTCCGTCGTGCTGTGAAAATAAGCAATCATTTCCTCACCATATTTCCGTGAATTTGAAATTTATATACTACAAAAATAGGGAAAATCAGGATGAATTCTACTAACATCAGCGAAATCCCTAGTCCATAAGACTGTTCCATCTGATCCCACACTGAATTTTGGTATCGTTTCCAACTCTTTAATTAAGTGATCGAATTTATTTCGAATGAAAACATCAGCAAAATTCGGCATTGGATGAAGGGCAAAATTGACAACAAATGCTTCATTGAGAGTGAAATGTTGTAACTTCCGTGAAATCGCATTCATGCTTGAATTTTCCATGTACAAATTTTCCATGTCGAAATCTGTATTCACTTCAGTGCAAAGATACGATATCACCTGAAATCACAACTTAAATCAGTTTGAATTTGAAAGATCAGAGAAAATCAGCAATGAACAAGTTTGAGCGAAATAAGTTCGAAAGAAACTCTCACATCAAATAGATCTTGAATGATCAAATAGAATTATCAACTTCAGTATTTTGCTATATTTTAAATATTGGTTCTAAGGGTTGTTGTTTACGAGTATTTAAATGTTTAGAATGAATGAATATTATCTTCCAATTAGTTTTTCCTCATTTCATGGGGTAACATGGGATAACATTTAACATAAATTTGAAAGATGGATTTCTCCTTAACTTACAGTGATATGAATGATAAATGCAGCAATAACAACGAATTTCGTAAGCGGTAAATGAAGGATATTGACAAGTTTCTGCAGGATAATTTCACTCTTTCCTGATGTTTTCCTCACCACTTTTGATGACAAAGAATTGTCGCCAGACAAGCAGTACTTTGTAATACCGATGTCCACAGCATATAATTTGTGCGAATTTTTCTGTTCAATTTTTGACCACAATTCATCTAGCATGTTTCTGGATTTGAGATTCTGCACAAAACGATGCACAGTAATCACAGATAAAATTACGGAATTTCTGGATTTAATCAATAGTCTTCTAAGGTACCATATGTCAAATACAATTAATTTTATAGAGTGTTCTAACAGTAAATTGTTCTTACTCAGAACTTCGCTCAAATCAATCTTGGACATTTGATGTTACTTACTCACCACCGAGCAAGATAGCTCTCAAAAATTTCAGGCCAAGTACAGCTGTCGAGCTATATAGAACGTCCACGCTATGTAGATTCGTTTATATTAAACCACTGGTGAAGCGTAGAATTTAATGTCTTACTTGTTTAGAATATAATTCCTTTTCTTCGCAACGATTCATTTTTTGCCTTCCACTGTAAACAACAAGGGCGGTAAAAAATGTAATCTGTAACAAAGGTTTTTGTAACATTTCAAGAAAATTAAATATAACGAAGACAAAAAAGAAATTGACCTGAATTTTTCACGTAGAAGTAGCAATACCTCTGCCATCTATTACGGAACAACCGACTCTCTAAACCATATATTCATTCATGCAGAATACCTGATAAATGAAGTCAATCATGATTGCGACGGAAGTATAAATACAAAATAATCGTACAACAGGTAGATTTGAAAACAGTCCCACCATGAAACATAGCACATCGCTAAGAGAAGTTATTGTAACGCTGGTACCAGAATGAGTCAGCGTTTCACCTATTCGTGTTTCGAGATCAGAAGCTGGGCTATAAATGTATGGAATGAAGACATTCATGTAAAAATTGACTCGTAATTAAATCCAGTTCCAAAAGCAAACATTGCATTGAAAGGGCTTAAGGGTGCGGAAACGGGCGCTTACTTTGAATGCCTCCACGCAGCCAATATGAGGAAAGCATCATCAACACCAATTGTGACAACGAGAAAAGGTACAACAGTTAGGATGTTTGAAAAGGGTAAACCAATACCCCATAAAATACCCCAAGAAGTAACCAATGCCATTGCTGGTGAAAGCACTGCAAAAATAGCCTGAAATGAAGAAAGCCGATTTCCAGACAATAATTATATCTCTAAATGAATAATTGTCCATCCTTAATCAATGCTGAACTCTATCCAGAGCATTCTTAAAATATTTAAAACATTTCACCTCAATGTGCTGGCTATTTCTGAATGGAAAATCTGTCGAGCTGATGATCATAAATGCGATTAACACCAAAATAGTTACACCGAGAAATGGTAACGCAGCAAGCGTTATTTGCTGCTGCTCTTCAATTTCACGATCTCTGCTGAATAGAGCATATTCTAGATCCTGAAATTTCCCTTTTACATCTATTCATTTTACATCTGTGGCTTTTCCAAAAATTTTCAATGTTTTCTAATTTTTGATGCAAAACGAAAATTGAAAAAGAAGAATCCTAAATAGCAGAAAATATATTTATGCGCAAAAAAATAAGAAGCCTTACCTGTTAATTTTACACATCCTTACGGTTTTGGTTTCAACTATTTGTTTTGCACTTCATTTTTGCATAAAATAACAATTCTATTTTCCTCACATTAAAAACTAAACGTTTTCTTCAGAACTTTCAATATTTCTTTACCTCCGATTTATAAGTAGCCAATGTAAGCAGTGTTCGCAGCTGTGATTCAAAATTCTTCGCTATCCTTGTACCGTGTGGAAGATTCAGATCTACCTGTTCAAAAACCATAAGTTAATTCCCAAAAACTTCCCAGTACCAAATCTGAATACATTTCTAACCATAAAATGCAATATGAAGAGTTTGAAGCCATCAACGACTGTTGCATCCTGGTCAGAATAATCCAAATTACCAACAGAATATCTGAATATGTCTAAATGATAATAATAGGTCCACGACTTAGAACAGAAACTGTTATTGTAGAAAGTAAACATTAAAATTCAAAATATATGCAAAAATTTCATTAATCTATCTTTAATATTGTAAGAAAGATTCAATACACATATCACTTGTATTTTCAGGTCTAACAAGAAAAAAATCAACAAAAGTATTTCATATTTTCAGCCACGAGTTTGAAAATTAATTAGAAACGAATAATTTGAAACAGCCAATACCCCATAAAGATATATTTCTCGAATATTCGTGCCTTTGGAAATGTGAAGGCTAACGATGATGAAGATCGGCCATTCATATTGATTGCTATCTGAAAATTTGATATCGATATCTGCACTACAAGATAGAAGCGCAACAATTTCGGATCAATGAACGTATGAAATCTCTCAGAAGAATTTCCGAATTTTGAGTTTGACCCTCAAATCAAAATATGGTATAGGTAAAATTCAAAGCTCAGCTATCCTTTTTGCACTTCTAATGTTTTTCTAAAGGTTAAAATATATAATAGATTTTGTAGGAATAAGTAAGCAATAAACCTTTATGAAGGTGAGAACGATATCATTACTTTCATTGCAATAGATACCGCAAATGTTACGATAGGTGAAGAAATTGAAGCCATTACTGATGGTTACATTGTTGGTTATAAATCTGTCCATCTTTAGCATTTCATCCGTATTGTTGTCGTTCATAAGATTGCCACCATCTTTACGATTTACCAAAATTTGCAACTAAAACAGAAATCAACTAAAGTAATATTTGAATTTAAACCAAAAATCCAGAAAAACTAAAAATTTAGTCAATAACTTGAATATTACTTAAGCATTCGCAAGGATACAATCAAAAATATATGCAAGTTCGGTCATTGGAGAACAAAATATTGAAAATCAATTAATTTTTAAAAAAAAGTTGACATTCATTAAAAACTTTTTGATGATCATATTTTACAGTTTCATAAATTTTGCTATTTTTACTGGCGAGTGTTAGTAAACAACGTCGCATCTGTTTGGCACAAACGTTATTCATGAAATTTTTTCGATAACTTCCTCAAAGAAATTCTCGGAGAGTTTCAAAAAGTTTTTCAAGAAGAAATTCAAACAAAAAAATATATTATTTTTTTTAAGAAGAATACTTTGATTAAAAATCATCAGTCAGTTAATCAGTCAAGCAGCCAATCATTCAGCTAGTCAATTAATTACAAAGGATAGCTCTGAAAATCGCTGTAAATTCCGATTTTTCATATCTTAATTTTGCCTAACAAAGAGTTATGATATAGTTTTTATTGAAATGATACAGAGTAATTTGCTTCAACTTTTTAAAAGAAGGATGTAAATTACAATTAGAACAAAGCCAAACTTATATAAGAAAAATAAAAAATCAATTTTTATATTTAATTTTCTTGATTTTCATTTCAAATTTAAGCGATTACTCTGTAATGATGCATGCCGCTAGCATATTCAAAACGTTCCAGGGCCTTTTCCTCCGCGCGAGACACTCCATTTACAGGTGAGTAAATGTTCCAGATATCATTATCAATATGAAAGCGCAGCAATCCAGCAGTGGAAATTAGCGTTGTGAGAATCGGCAAGAGCTGAATTTCAATTACGATTAGCTAAGAATTGAAAATTTTAATTTGATTTTAAAGAATTGCAATTTTTCTTCTTTGCTATAAGAAATTCTGGTCAAATGAAGATTACCTTATCCACAATTGTTACTGCGTCAATATCATTTTTATCAAGAGAAAAAGAAACTTCCAAGGATATTCAGCATCTCTACTGGTGGGACTATCTAGAAAATTGTAGTAAATTAAACATAAACATAATGTGGTACCAGAAAGGGCATAGGATGTATTGCAATATAACGTCCATAACGTTGATAAATATTTTCCAAAAATCGCATTTTATTTAAACTGAAAAAAAAGTAAAAGTTGGAAAGATTTATCGAAATAAAAATTAAAAATTTGACTGGATTCAAGTATGATATCGGAGAGAAAATAATATTTTTGAATCGTAACATTATTATGACAAGCATTTCGTTTTGAGTCTTAGATTGTATTTCAAATTTCAAGCCCAAATTTAAATTTCTAGCAAACATAAATCACTGTTCAAAAACATAAGCGCGCCAGATCGAATTCATTAAAAACAGTGAATTTGGAAACTATTTCCTCTGAATTAATTAATTGGAAAAGCGGTAGAAAATTATTTGTAATCCCTGCATTCATGTAATATTGAACTACTGGAAAACATTCGACTTACTTTAACTTAAATATGTTTGAGCGAAACAACTGAAAATAATTTAGTTCGATAGTGCCCCAAGAAAATCAAAATTAGGCCAATCGAATGGAACTCATTATTGGCATCTGATAAGTCATACAATTAAATCACACTTCTGAAAAAAGGTAAAAGCAATTCTGTTATGACAATACTCCAAAAAGGATCAGAATTGTGCCCTTGGAAACGTAAAAAGATAGTTCGAAAGAGGCGACGAAGAGATAGTGATTGATTTAAGTACTAAAAATGTTAGGTAAGGAAATTTTCGAAAACAACCACATAGATAATTTAATTGAGAAGGGAAATTCTCATTAAATAGAAATTTTGGAATTGCTGAAATCATCCCAAGTAAACCAAACAGATTGTTCAGCTGAATCAGTAATATGTCAACTACAGTCTGATTAGAAAGGGTGCATATTTACTTGAACCGTATTTTTACAAATGACGGTGTGTATTCCAACACGACGAATCTTTAACTATCAACTAATATATTCAACGCAAAAAGGCACGTGAGGTTATGTTATAATTCAAGAGAATTTGTGCAGTAGCAAAGTAACATATTTGCATATTGAAGAGTGATATGATAGAGAGAGTTGAGTTAAATAAGAGAAATGAATAAGTTATAGATAAATCTAAAAATTATGAAGTACAGATTTTAAAAAAAAAGAAATAATGTTTCGTGCAATGTACGATGCTGTGTTATCTTTTCTGAACTCCTTTATAAAATTTATTAATTTGAATTAGAAGTCAACAATGCGTTTATTTCGTATGGAAGGTTAAAAGGAAGTAATATAACCATAACTAAAATATGTTTTGGCAAGTCAGTATAGCAATTAATCATGGAAGAGTGTTTTTTGAACAAAATACTTCTGTCACGAAAAAAAAAACTTCTAGCCGAACTTAGTGCATATTATCCTACACATTCATTGTTATCACAACCTCATCAAGACCATATCAATAATGAAATTTGAACAAACTGCATAAATTATAACTGTGAAAATAAGGAATTGTCTAACTTGCAAAGCCAAGTATTTGCATAAAATTTTCGACAATACAATCTGAGCATCTATAGACATTCATATGCAATGTGATTGAATTAAGGATGAATGATATAAAGAAAAAAAATCAATGTATAAAAAACAAATTGCTCCTTCAGAGTAACGAGTAAACCTTTAGCAAATATTTGTAATAATTTTTTATATGAACCGAGCATTTATTTGATGTGTTCATCAAGCAGCATGTCAACAGAGCGCAATGGGACACAAGGGAATGTCATTGGAGTACACGAAGGCAGCATGTCATTTTGTTTTTCTCGGACAACTATTTTTGCATCTCTCTTTGATTCTGATTTGCATTTTTACTTCACTCAACTTGTTTCAACAAATGTCTTCGATTGAAAGTTTTGACGCAACAACATTCTGTTTCTGTCCTTCCCTATTGCTGTTTATAATCCAGGTTACTAAAATGCTTCTTATCATTGTTCTACAATTTCGACTTTCATTTCCGAACTTTTCGAATTGCTTTGCTTGTTTAGTTGAAATATTTTAAAATCTAAGAATTTGATAAAGTTCTATCTTAAATGAAATTTTGGATTTTTGGCAACTTATCTATCCGGCCTTTAGGCTTTAGGCATTCATATTTTAAGCGGTTTTTTTTTTATAACAAGCATCAGCTTGGTGGTCAATGACAGCGATGATAACAGAGAAATAAATCGCAGTATGAAAGAATAAAGCAAAATATGTACAAACAGAAACGATGAGATCAGTTAGAGATCTTTATGAACTTTTGTTCGCACTCGATAAAGAAACTTTTGAAAATAGAAACTGAAAAAACAAGCTATTTTTATTGTTAAATTATTGCTAAAAAGTTTTTTCGAAATTTAAAAGCCGAGTTAAAGAAAGAAGGAATGAAAGTACTATTATAAGAACCAATTATATTTGTGCAAGAAAAAAAAAAAACTTGAAATTTCCAGTATTTGTTGTAAATTGTTGAAGAAGTATTTGACAAGTTGTCATTGTAAGACAGGGAAATTGTGAGAATGACGTGTTTGAAGTTATTCCGTTCATCGTTCTGCTTCTGCGACCGCAAGCAATACATGCAAAAATGATGTTTATGCTATGGATGCGCTTGTATCTATATGAGGGTGGATCCTTATGTACTTACAAATGTTTGTCCAATATGAATAAAATGCCTTCCGGCGGTATCAGAGAAATTTGATTATTTTCAGCTTCATTTCGATGGAACGGAACTTTCATGCTTTGTTTGTTTATGTGTACATTGCAAATTGTTATTTCAAAATGCAAATTATGAGAACAACTTACTTTCAGGAAGGTGCAATTGGATTTTGATCACAAACAGCTCTTTCTTATACTTGGTTACAGCTTATGTGATAATAGTGGTAGTGTAAATTAACGGGTAATAAGTGCAGTAAAATAATCATATCAGGAGCGGAACAGCAGAGGGTGGATGAAGTTTGGTGAACTAATAATGAATGTGATATTTATATGCAGCAGGTCTGTGATGCAGATTTTAAGAATGACAAGTTATGCAAATTGAAAAGGTTTAAGAATGTGCACAGATGAAATTAAGATAAATTAAATTATAATCCCGGTATTTCTCTAAACAAACATTCCCGATAGATTGCTATTCACAAAAGATGTTTTCAGTTTTTATACGATTATTCAATTTGGATATGTAACTAAGTTCAAACTATTCTATTCTAATTCATAAAGTTCAGAGTAAAATGTTTAATATTGTCAAAAAGTACTTCAATACTTCTTGTTGTATGGAACAGATAACAGGATTCACTGATCTACTGGAATTTTTTTTTTTTTTTTGTGATCAGAGTATTTGCTGTGAAAAGTGTTGGAACATTTGAAAGGTAAATTGCATAACAATGAAAACAATGCTTCTGAGCAATATCCGATATTATTGAATTCTAATGAACGAAAGGAGAAGAAGAGAAGAGTGAACATTGGAAGAGACTGAAGAAATTTTATAATGAAAATTTTCGCTTTAACGATTCTTCAAAGAAATGGAACTGACCATTTTGCTGGTTCATGATGACAAAGAATGAGTAATGATAGCAAAGGAACGCTTACAAAGGAAGAGAGTTTCTTAGTTTTTTTTTTTCTGGTAGCGAAAAGTCTGAAAAAATCATCAAAAGCAAAAAGGTGTAGGATCCTCCTTTTTAGAAAGACAACAAGATGTCATTGAATTTGAATACTATTTTCAAGCATACGATAGCTAATTTCAAAAATAATCAGTAAACGAAGTATGGAAATTTTTGCTTAAATTGGAATTGAAATTTATTCTACTGCTTATTTGTATGTAGAGGCTTACAAATAAGCAATACTTTCCACAGGATGTTTTCAAAGGTTCCTGAATTGCAAAATATTAAAATGAAGGAATTTTAATGCTTAAGTGACATTTTCAACAAATGCGCAATATATGCAACTTTAGAAGTGTGATCGAATAACTATAAAAAATTGCTATTACCCATTTCGAAATCGCTGGAATAGGTATTTTTCCACAAAAATCGGAAATTTAAATAAAATAAGAGTTGAAAGATGACTGGAAAAAATATTGAAAATACTGAGGGAGTGAAATGACAATCGTTACGCTTGTCCTATCCTTTCTCAACATGGATTATCGGTGGACATGGGCGGTTTATAGTATTGTTTCGTATTCTTCCTCCTCCATCTTCCTTTCTTCCTACTACTCTTTCTCTAATCGCAACATCAATTCACTCAGATTGGACATTCGATGATCTCCTCAAATGTGATTACAGTTTTGATGCAGCACTAATAATTATTTTAAAAAAAAGTCCGGAATGGAAGGAATCACTTCTGATGAAATTTGACAATTTAATCTTTCATTTAATCTGACACAATTTCATTTCATGATAATATTCTCTGATACTGGATAATAGACTTAGTCATTGATTTGGCTAATAATGATGTATCTTAGCTGATAGCACATCGCGTTTGCTACCTTTTATAATGGAGTCGCAATAAGAACTCCTATACGTTGTTGCAGATGATGATGTCGTAATTTTGGAACTAATTAAGTTGCATAATGACGAAATATTGAATTGAACTGGAACTGGACAACCGGTCACTGACATTAAGCCGAATTTTAAAAGGGGATTTCGGTGACCGAAATTTTCATCTTATGAATTGTATGCAGAATGCGACATTTAAAAGATCGCATGTTTATAATTTGTTTAGGAAAACTTCAACGATATGAAATTTCACTTATAATCTATAGAATCCGAAATTGATGCTGAGAAAGTGAGAAAAAGGATTTCGTAAAAATCGAAGTTTGGAACATCATTCCCTAAAATCCCTTCTTTCTTATCAGAAAATTCATAAAGAAGAAGTTTTTACAAATTTAAACATGAAAAGAATTTTTCATTTCAAGATTTTTCCACCCTTCCAGCTTTCATACAACCGCTAAAATAAATGTAGAAACTTTGCTAAAATTGCAAACACGAATGTTAGATTACAGAATACTAAATTTAGCAAAATTTCGTGGAAAACAATTTTTAACAAAGTTTATGAAAAGAATTAGTAAGTGAAATGAGAATAAATAAAGTTTTGTTTCTGTATCCAATTAAATCCTGGCAGGAAATGCTTTTCTTTTTTCATTTATTACCGAACTGGCGAAGAAGAATTGCGCTTCATTACAAAAATACAGTAAGTCTTTTCTGATATTTTTTTGATTCAATTCTCTTAATTCCCTTCTTTGAATATATCTTTTTAAGAACTGACAAAACAATGAAATTTGCATTGAATTGGACCTAAGCTCTAATTGAATAATATTGAATCGATATTTTCAGAAAAGTTTTCTCATCTCGCTTTATCAACGCGAGTATGAATCATCCAGTATTACATTTCTTGACTGAAATGATTCTATAATTAGTCGATAAAAATGAACTCATAGACCAATTTCATTGTTTAACAACTTGATATTGCTTTCTTACAGAGAAAAGAAGAATTTCCAGCTTAAATAAATAAGAAAATATTATTTACTCAGCATACTGATTTTAATTTCAGAACACCTATGATCAGCGAGTACATATTTGACCTAAGTAACGAGACAAAGTAAGTACAAAGCCATTGTTCGATAACCAATCAACTTGACTGTTACGGTTGCTGCTGCTACGTAAAAGCGATAATTGTGCGCCCTCATCCTTGAAAAAAAACGAAATTCATGTCCATTCCATATTCTTCATGCAACCTAAATTTTATATGAAATATTGACACTTATAAATTAGTATTTATTTGGTAATGAAATTCAAAAGTCACTTGATAATTATGAATGAAAAACGGATAAAAGGAATGAAACCGGTCCGTCATCGTTTACGTGAGTGGGCTATCATCCTTAGGAGAAACTTTGAAAGAGAATGCAAATTTGCTGCATAGCAGCAATAATTGTAGTCTTTTCACAACTGGTTTATCAAAATTACATGCAGTAATCATCCTACCAAAATACCAAGTCAGTTGATTTTCAGCTTATCAGTAACAACCGAATCAATAATTTTTTTCAGAAATGAAATTTATATATAATGAGCAGATAATAGGATAAATTTATCATGCACATGTAATATTAAAATCAAGAAAATGGTTATGGCGCAAGAAAGTGATAACAGTGATATCAGCACTGTAACATTTTCTTTCGCTTCATTTCGAAATTTAATGTAGAAATTTATTCCGATCTTTCCGTTAGATTAATCTAATGTTCAAATGATAAATTGTTCAAGCAACTTGAAGAAGTAATTGATTGACTCCTTCTTAAGTTGCATTTGATCTGACAACAGTGGACACTTTGCATCCTTTGGTCTTATTCTTCTTCTGAGATCGTTTTCCAAAATTTTATTTGTTAGTGATAATTAAAATATCTCAAAGGTTTAATGGTAGGATGATGAATTAGAAGACTTGAATCCATCACAATGATAAACGTTTTATTTCAATTCTTGACTGGATCAAATGGATTACCAAGAGCAACTATGTCACTGTGAAAGCGTATAAGCCGAATAATATCACAATTTGAAGGACAAAGGTCAAGGGTCGTCATTTGGTTGAGCAACAACTGTGTTCCTTATGATATTTGCTCTTTCATTTCTGCTCAGTAGCAGATGTTGATGTGTCGAGAGCTGCTCTACTGCTTCGCATTGTTTACTGAACATCATGTTGCACGCGGCGGTGCTAATAATTTTGGCTCACGCTGTTAACACGGAAGAAATAACGAAACTTCCAGGGACGGAGCATCTAAAAATAAATTTCAAGCATTATTCGGGATATTTTCAAGTTTCAGACATTCATCATTTGCATTACTGGTAAGTTCTGTTGAATTCCTACGATAAAAATTTGTAAATCATATGATCAAAAAATTTATTCACACAAATTTTTTTGAAATACTTTTCATATGATGTCATTTGAATTAGTAATTCTCTTCTAGAAATCTCGCAAGCAAAATGACCTCTAGACATACCGATGTGTTTTCAATTTCTAATAAAAACTTTTGATTGGACAATTAATTAACTTGGCTGCGATAGAAAGAGATTATTTGAGGTTTGTGGAATCACAGAATAATGCAGCGACGGATCCGCTGATATTTTGGTTCAATGGAGGTCCTGGTTGCTCATCATTAGATGGCCTATTGAATGAAATGGGTCCATATCTTATCAGCGATGATGGTAAAACACTTCATCGCAATCCTCATGCATGGAATCAGGTATCCAAAGCGAGTTGGAACGGCTAATTTAAAGGATTCAACTATGAAACAATTTTCTCAAAAAGCGTCTTTTGCATAGTTACATTGGAAAATTAAGAAGTTGATTTTATGTTTCCATTATACTGATTAAAAGGATTCAACTATGAAGCAATATTTTTTTTTTTTCATTTCTTCCAGATAGCTTCCATAGTTTATATAGAATCACCTGCCGGAGTCGGTTATTCATATTCTACCAACGGGATTATTAAAACCGATGATGATCAGGTACCATTTGAGATAACTTTTTCAATCTATTTTCAAAATTCCCGGCAGTTCAGCTCCATTCATTTGAAGTAATTCTGCTTTCATTCCAATTCTGAAACACTACCGATCATTACGGCAATATCATTCTTCTTATATATCGTTTAATTTGTGACAAAATTCTCTCCTCAGATCTTATCAACCTTTATTACCTCTTAGGTTACGACATTATTTTGCTCTTAATTACTATTACATTTATTAGCTAATCATCTCATCCCACTAATCAACAGTTTTTCTGATTTTAATTGATAAAACTTTATATCCACATTTTGCAATCACTGAAAGGAAACTAAGGAAAATCGGAAGAGTTCATTAAATCAATAAACGTTCACTATCGGCGGGATGAAATAACAGAGGGTGGGACGAACTACAGTAAAAAGATGAAAATTTCTAAAAGGATTCGAATCGATTTTATTACTTTTGTTCTGTTTGCTTTACATTATTTGTTTTTACTTAATTTTATGGTGGGCCTAATTCAAGGTTTTTTTTATGATGGGCCTAATTCAAGAGTTGAAATATTTGCCATGCTGTGATTTACATTCTCGGAAATGTGTTTCCGTATTCAATTGACATTACTTCATGCTTACTTTCTCCGTATGACTAATGCGAGTGCGATATTCGAATACTCAAATAAGTATTCATTTAATTTAAAACAACAAGGCCAGGGTACATAGTGTGGTACAAATCACCTATTGTGTTCCCTTCGTACCTACTTTGTTGTGAAATAGCTTATAATGAAAAGTGAAGGCAAAGGATATATCTCAAAATTTTTATTTGAGTTTTATTTTTTATTTTAATTTTCAGTTAGTTGTTTTAGACAGCCAGAGAGAATTATGCTGCTTTCAAAACATTTTTCGAAGCGTTCCCAGATTTCTATAATCATTCCGTTTATATCATGGGAGAAAGTTATGGTGGCATCTATGTACCGACGTTGGCTGCCCTTATTATTCGTGGTCTCAAAGAATTCCCGATAAATCTCAAGGTTTCTCGTCATTTCTCTTTTTCTTTCCACTTTATGGAATGGTTTCCCATTTGTCAGTTTATGGTAAGACATAGTCATTGCTTAAAACTCAGTCATTGTTACAATTGTCAACTGTTTTCGCCGTCGTACACATAAAAAAGTTTTGAAGTAGTTGAGTGATAAGTGAACATCGGAAGAAGCACATCTGGTTGAGTGAATATTCTGAATTTAAAGTTTCTTTTCTGAGGTATCAAGCTATTTACGATTCGCTGGTTTTCAGTACAAGAAGTCATAATTTTTAGGGTATCGCAATTGGAAATGGGTACGTGAGTGAAGTCCTAAATATCGATACATCAATACATTTCGCCTATAGTCATGGACTCGTTGATGAGAAGACTTGGAATGCGCTCCAAAACGAATGTTGTCATGGCTGCATTAACACGTGTGAGCTGACGAATGTCACAGAAAAGGAGTGTAAAAACAAGGGGAGTGCTTGTCATTTTTAAGCAATATTTTCGAAATCTTTCTTTAGACTAATAATTTTTCATATCCCTATTATCATCCCGTAAGGTGAGGGATCTATCCAACAGTAACCACTTAATGATACCACGAAATGGCATTAGATCAATCTTTGAAAGATGAAATTCGTTTGTTTTATTAATGTAATAATTTTTCTTTTCTAATTTTGAGCGGAATTTCTTGAAGGTTCAAGAAATTTTCCAATTTATATGGTCCGGTAATCTGAATCCATATGATTTGTATCGGGATTGTAATTCAAATCCTGAATTAAACAAAGCTCGAATACGTGTTATGAAATTTGGTCTTACTGCTTCACGTTTACTTAAAAGTAATGAGCCAGGGATGGAGCAGAAACCACTGAAATCTGTTTTGGCTTATTTGAGAGTGAGTTTATTTCTTGGCAAACTTTTGCTCCTAACATACCAAAAAATATTTGTTTTCAGTTTTCGCGGATATATTTGGACTTCTTGCAATTTTTCAACCGAAAAATTCAATTTACTTCGAATTTTGAAAATCCCAGATGTGTCATACCATAACTGAAATTTGTGCAAGCGCTTAATTCTTAAGCGACAAGTAATTTTATTTTTACGAAGTTTTGCAAATTTTACACCGATCATTTCTCATTTTAGCGTACTAGTCCTCTGTCTGGAGATGCACCTTGTTTAAACGACTCAGCAATGATCCAGTATATGAACAATGCAGAAGTGCGCCGTGCGCTTCACATCCCAGAGAATTTGCCTAAATGGGATGTATGTAGCGATGAGGTAGGACAAGTGCAATCGATAAGTGTTATGTTTTGCTTTTCTGCGCAAATGGATCATATTACAGATGGCAACGAAGTATGACAAGATATACAGCGATATGGCACCTTTTATAAAAGAAATAATTAAAGCAAGCGTTCAAGTGTTATTGTATTATGGTGACACTGATATGGCATGCAATTTCATTATGGGGCAACAATTTTCTGCTTCGCTCAAGTTGCCGGTATCTTTTCTAAATTTCAGATTGATGAATAATATTTAGTTCTAAGTATTATGACAAATGAGAAGCTGATGTAAAGTAGGCTCCAAATCATTCATGCATTTGCATACATTCTGCATTTTGGTTATCTTCTTCTGCACGCAGTTCGGTAAAACAATGATTTTTTCAGAGGAGAAAAAGAAAAGAGCCATGGATATTTGATTCTCAGATAGCTGGTTTCAAGACTATGTACAAGGGTTTGACATTCCTAACTGTTCGTGGTGCTGGACATATGGCACCGCAGTGGCGTGCACCACAAATGTATTATGTCATCCAGCAATTCATCAACAATCGACCCTTTTAAAAGAACAAAAAACTGTTAAAAGTAGATAAACTTACAGTTTGATTTCACTTTATTTGTTGTACAATCACTTGATATAACTACTTGTTGCTATACGAATTCGAGCTATTAACCTCTTATATTTCAACGGAATTCGAAATTTGTGTCAGATAAAGCAGAAATTTCATCAATTCTTCTCCACAATTCCATCAAATCTTCATGAAAATTTACATTATTGTAATGTATTTTCGCTTATTTTATTGTTTTTTCTGCGAGAGGAAATAAATTGTTCAGTTTGAATATTTACTGCAGGCATGGGCCAAGCACAGGCCTTTTCCCCATGCCCTTTTGTCCAAGCTATTTAAATGAAAATAGAAAATAAAAGAACGATTTAATATTTGGTCTGATAATTGCTTTTCATGTAAATACTATGAAAATAAACCGGACAATTTCTGGGCTTCATGAAATTATAGATTTGAAAATTTGAAAGAATTATTTGTAAATTAATCTGAATTTTACTAATGGAATAGTCATTTTTGCTTCACTGATGAATTTTAATTTTCTACTGATGAGTGTTATATTGGCCATCTACGCCATAGAGCGAGAAATGTTTTTGCAAGGTTGTAGAATCTGAAAACAGACCCTTTATCTAATTTTCCGACAAGTTGACTTGTTTTTTTTGCTTTATGTAATTTAAGATGTCTTGTATTGCAGGCTTTATAACTGCGCTCCACACACATGCAGCAATCGAAAGCATAAACTGCATATTACTGTCGTAAAATGTTTCTGAGGTTATCATTTCTTTGTAATACCAATCATACTGATGACTTGATTGTCAATACTTCAGGACTCCTATATCTCTCAACTTTCCAACTTCCAGTAATCTGTCCTTCAGATCATAGAAATCAGTCATTAGTCTATACTTGGACATTGCGTTTTCACGCAGTGTCGAAATCTTTTTACTTGCAGTTGCATGTAGCAATCGATTCTTTCATTTTAAATATTTCGATATAATTAGAAAAGATCAGCCTGGGATAATATTAAATCGAAAGCTATCCTAATCAATTCATTTGTTTTTCTATCATACCTTCTCCTTCTATAAGTAAGTCCCACACTTCGAGAATGTTGAAGCCAAAAAATGCCGCCTTTTACAATCTGTTCCCAAATCAGTCCCTGTGCATTTTCCCGATTTTCGTTGTTAATCATGGTATGATCGAAATTTTAGAAGGGATGGTAAGGTGTTGAACGGTTCCAGGAAAGTGATTTAGATATGCTTTCATCGTAAACTCCCAAATCACTGTACTCCATTGAAACATGATGAAGAAATCTTCCGGAAAATATGTTCCTGAAAAGAATTGCAACACAAATAGTGGAACTGATATGAAAATAAAGTGAGGAGAGTTTCAGACAAAAAGAAATATGTGAGGTTGTGAAGTCAGAGAAGAGAGAACAAAAGAAGAGACGATGTGGGAATTGATGAACGGGAAAGTAAGAGTGGGGTTTATGTTGGGGTCTTTGCAGCGTCATTTACGTAGATCATTGTGTTATTTGTTCTGTTCATTTCACTCGTTCTTTACGTGAATTTCCATTTACTTTTGAAGTAAGTATTAAATAAATTAAGTGTTATGGAATATTTCAACGTTAATGAGGAGAAATGAATTAGAGAGGATAACGAACGCGCACAACCAGTTCACACAAAATACAAAGAAGCACGTATGATCCCCAGCAAGGTAAAC